TTTTTCGCCCCATAACTTAAACATTGTACTTATTCAAGAAGCTTTACAACATTGGGGGGAAAATGGAAATAAAGATGCTATGTGCCAAGAAACTCAGTTTAGTAGGGTTGTTAAATTGTCATGGTGGTCACCTTTCATGTACCTGGAGAAGCCTCCCTGCACCAGGGAGGACCAGTTTTGGTCCTGTTTTGAGGGCAAGACCCAAAATAAGGGGAGACTTTTAGGACAAAAGATGGAGGTGGAGACAAAGGGCAGAGCAGACTTTGATTGCTATAGTATGAAACCACACTCTGTGATCTGGGCCAACATCTACGCCAGCTACAGAAGTCAGTCCATGTCACTGTGGTTGAAGTCCTTGGAATTCAGTTTTTGTCACTTAAAGAATCCAGACAGTCCTGCAAGTTATCCTGGTCCTTTGTCAGCCCAGCTGGGTCTGGTAGAGGGCACCCCTCCCCAAGAAAATGTACAAAGCAGGGCCACCTGAAAGGTCATGCTTTTCTGTCATGCCTCGATGACTTTGTCTTGCCTGTGTAGGATGGGAGGGTGAAGGGAGACAGCTCCAGCTGTCAGGAGAAGGGGCAGATTAAAGGATGCTCCCTGGTGCCTTGACAATAATTCCCCTGGCCCTCCTGTGTAGAACCAATGCTCACAGAGACAGGCAGGGCTGTGGCTTGGGAGTCTTCTGGATTTTCCTTCAGCACCAAGCAGGGTGCAATCTTTAGAAAGAGTAGCAACACCAGAGCAGAAGTGGGGTGGGTGTTTGCAGGGTGACCCTAAACTTGATGCTAGACTCTGGGAGTCATCCCTGGGGCTCCAAACCAAAGGTGACTGAAAAATAGAACATTTGTTCTGATTTAGGTTCTAGACATTACTTCAAACATTCCAAAAACATTTATTAAATTCTGAGCTTGGTCTTCAGGACCCAATAATGGAGACTCGGCTGCCATTTTCATGGAATTCATTCTCTTGTTTTAACAAGCAATGAGAGGAGAGAGTCCAGCCAAACAACCCAAAGAGACAGAGAGGAAGACATCTCATGGAAGCCTTAAGAAAGAAGGGAGCAAATGTCCCCTGGAACTCTCTAAAGGAAAAGGCTTCTCCCTCCTCTCTTTTTTTAAATAAACACACATTCACAGCTTGTTTCCAAACGTTTGAGTTTTTAATCACAAATAAATGTTTGTTGAGCAGTCCAAGTGGTGGTATGACAGTAAGAAGCAGCTTCTTAAAATCTCAATTATCCAGAATGTCTTGGAATCAGGCTGTTCTGGCAGTCCCTAATTCTGCGCATCTGTTCTTTGCTCTCACTTATTCACAAGTTATTCTGGAGCCTCTGTGGGTCAGGTGCATGTAGAAGAGAGTGGGAGGTTACCGTTCAGGCGCTATTGTTCGGATACATCTAGTTGCCAGGGCAGACACTGGCAGTGGCAGGCAGCCCCAGCGTCAAAAAACCCAGAGCCACGTCCTGGACATGGACGTGGTCGCATTCAGGTCATCAATTGCTCCTCTTCCTAGAGGCAGTATATTTAGGACAAAGTGATCCGTACACGTAGGCGTGCCCATTACTCGTGGCTCCTCTGTTAGCCGACCAGGTGTGTAGGGGCATCTAAGAACCCCACCCTCAGCCTCACAGAAGAGGAATCTGGGTTTTGAACGGGGGAGGGACGGCTAGGGCCACCCAGGGTAAGTCAAATACGTCTGTGCCCGCACGGCTCGCCACACTGGCCCTCTCCCGCACCCCCCCC